AATCATCTTGAACCAAATCAAGTATGACAGTTCCCATTTTATGACAATTGTCTTTCTAATGGATATATGTTACCGTCCCTAAGGTTATTAAAACTTATATTAGGACAATTAATCCTCACCTACCCCAAAAAATTTGCTTAAATTTGGCTAATATTTTTTTTCTAATGGGATTAGGCACATAATCATCATATCTAAAGGACGAAATTGTGTTCCATTATACAAAGCTATATGTTAGATATATTATTTAAGGCAATAAATTCATCAACCATTGCATAAAACACAAAGCCATAATTATTTCTTAAATAATTTTGGCTAATATTTTCCTACATTGTTAGACTTTTTTTATTTTATAAATATGGTCATAGTATGAGGATGGAAGAAAAGATTAATGTAGCTACTTTAATTTGAACACAGAGATACTGGATGACACTTCTTAGAAGTAATTGCATGAACCAATTTGATTAAATCTCAGCTGGTTCTATGTTCTTAGACTTTATAGTAGTCATTTTCAGGGTTATCTCTTTGATGATCTGTTACTAACTTACTAGCTAGCTCATATAAGTAAATGATAAGCCAAAGGGGGAAAAAAGAACAAACTAAAAAAGTAAAAAAGAAGAAGAGAATTCATTAAAGCTCATATCAGTAGATGTCTCACACTATTATTTCTACATGCAAATTTAATATTTGCTATTTAGATTGGGACCAAACGAATACATAGGCAGGAACATATATTAAATGAAACAACGTCCCATTAGAGTGGGAAATGAACTGATTAATATTTGCACCAAAAAATAACTGGTTGACCAAATTCAATCATAAAATTCACACAGGATGAAATCAGTTGATTTTATTTTTAAATTTCTACTTGAAAAATGTCTCATGATGCAAATAATTTCTATGAAAGAAGAAATCCAGATGAAATACATAGCTAATTAGAAAATTTTACAAATTTTTGACAGGTCAATTAATAAGTATTTATCTCAATAACCCCCAAAATTTACAAAGTTATGTTAAATTGTTATATATATATATATATATATATGTATGTATTGGTGGTTTTTTTTTTTTAATTCTTAATCTACCCTTTAATCCTCAAACTTCTATCTACTTATATAACTTACTCAACAAGGATATAATGGGACTTATAAGAGCCGATAAGAAACTCACAAGATGATATAAGTCTAGTGTTTAAAGTTAAAACCATAGATGAGATAAGCTTGCTTGTTTCTTGTTTTTAAAGTTAAAACAACCAGATGAGATTAACCCTAAACTTGCCTATATTATATAAAAGATGAGATAAGTCTAGTGTTTAAAGTTAAAATCACCAAATGAGTTAAGCTTGCCTATATCTCTTGTATCTTTTATTTATATAAACACTCAATGATCAATGAAACACAAGATAAAAAAAAAAAAAAAACTAAAATTTTATCTTTGTCATACGCCTAAGTTCTCTCAAACACATAATTTTCAGGAGTTTATTTAGTAAGCATGCTATATGAACTAAATACTCATTTTTAAAATTAAAAAACAAAGGCTAACTCTAGACATCATAGTAATTTCACAAACTCCTTGTAAACTTTATTTCCTCAATAATGGAAATGCAAAAATTGAAACACAAGAACACAATAAAAAATTAAGTGCTTCATAATTAATTTGTGCCCTCTAATAATGATTAACAAATAATGAAATTTGGGATTATTGGAGTTATCGAAAATATACCTCTAGTTATCTAATAAATTTATAATAATATGATAAGAAAAGAATACAATAGGTTATATTTATATATAGTGAATATTTAATAATGTCCTCTCTCAAAAAAAAAAAAAATGTTCGAATTTGAATCAAGTGGTAAGAATCGGATGAAACATTGATATATAGCAAAACAACTTAATGAGCCTCAGCACAACATTAAAAAATTGGGTTTTTAATTCAAAAGCTCCACATAACATTAAAAAATTATTGTTAAAGATCTTTCTATAGAGAAGGGATTGAAACAATATTTTCTCAATGAGTTTTTGTGTACAACCATCACTTTTTTTTAAACATTATCACACCAAGGAAACAAACTTTTTCACATTGTGCAGCCCTTTTGTTTAGTTTTTTTAGATCAAATTATGATAATGATTCATGTTTTTTAGTGAAATTTGAATTTTAGTATCTCCACTATAATTTATAAAAAGGTAGTTTTCATACTATTTTGATTAGATGATTTTAATCCATCACTAACCCCATAAAATTTTTGTTATTAAAAATGTTGATGTACACGTTGACTTGATAATATAAATATTGTTTTGCTAATATGGTATTGACTTTACTGATATGATAATATAGATTAATGAAATCTATTATCAAATATGCAAATAGTCTATATATTCACACGAAATTTAAATTTTAGTCCCTCTAGTATAATTTATAAAAATCTCGTCCGTGTATAAGTTGAATTTGATAATGTTGATCAAATTACTAAAATATCAATTATTCTCTATTAATTTTGCTGATGTAACTATTGTCTTTATAGAAGAATATCTTAAGATTAAAAAGTCCTAAGAAATTCAAAAGAAAATATTTGAAAAATTAAAAAAGATAACAAATGTTAAAAAAATCTATTTTTTTTAGGCTCTTTCAGATTTTTTAAAAACATTAAATTTAATTTTTGCCAATATTTTATTATTTTTAACAAAATAATATTTCTTGAAATTTTTAAAAGAATAAGGTTGCAATTTTAAAAATTCAAATTTATGAATTATTTAGATTTTTCTTGACTTTTAAAAAATATTTAATTTAATTTTTTTACAATATTTTATTTTTCAAAAAATAAATTTCAATTTGTAAAATTTATCAATTTTTTAAAATATTAAATTTAATATTTTTCAAAACTTTAATGTAATAGTTATGTCAACATTTTTAATGACAAAATTTTAACGAGATTAATAATTGAATTGAGATTATTAAATTCAAATAGTATAATATCTATATTTCTAAAAATTATAGTAGAGGACTAAATTTTAGGTTTCATTAAAGTATATGGACCATTATCATAAATTAACTTTTTTTTACATAGATCAGCAGCACTTTTTAAGTAATTAATTCTAACAGCACAAGTTGGCTATTAAACAAAGTGTCATAATTATTGGAACATTTAACTGCAAAATTATTGTGCTATTCATAACGCTATTTGTTGTAGATATATAGCATTGAGGGGGCTGATCTCTTTTTTTTTTTTTGGGTCAAAGGAGAAATTGTAAGAGGGGAAAATTGGAGTTGGATGTCTTCAACTTTTTGACCTAGTGATTAAGAAAATTTTTGACCTAATATTTAAGAAAATTTAAAAAGAAATGTAAAATTGAAGTTCGAACCCTCATCCCTGTTCTTTATCCAATGATTAAAAAGAACATGGGTTTGGATCCGTTTTTCATAAAGTGCTTTGCAGTCATCACCAGGTTTTAGCAAAACCAGAAGAAAACTTATCACCTGAATCAATTTCTATACACTAACTTAGCGACTGCCTGCCTATGAAAACTCTGACTCTGCTTCCTTCATTTTGTGCAACAATATTATATTATCTGAATGTTCTCAACAGTCTGATATTAGTATATATCCACACTCAATTCTCATAGCGTAGCCAGCCAACAGCTGATAGTTTCTGCATTAAGTAAGGAGCAGTCAGCTGAAAACTCACATTCCCAAAAGGAAAAGGCATGGATTTACTTTAAGTTGCTCGGTTGGTCCAAAAGTAAAGACCCTATAGTCTCCAAAACAGTTAAAATCTGTACTTTTCTTTTCTAATTAGAAGGGTTCTACAGCTTGACATTAAACCTTAGGTCAAGTTAAGTTTCCATAATGGTCAATCTTTCATCCATCTATATTTATTTGCAAATTTCATGGACTTCAAAATGAGACTTAATAAAATATATCTTATTTAAAATTTCATTCATGATGGGTTTTTATCCATTGGAGTATCTCTTTAAAGATCGTAACATCTTATACTCCAATGAATTACTAGTAATATTTTATAACACTTAATTATATAAGGGCTTCTTTACCTATTTGCCAAATAATTTAACATTGAATGTTTTGCTTATTTCTTAATATGGCACTGTGTATCAAAGCTAGTTTTAATGTTCAAACTTCTTTCGTGTTTTCATGAATTAGCTTTAATTTGTTTTTGCTTTTGAGATAAGTTTATTTTCTTCTAATATAAAAGAGGTCATAATTTGTGATATAAAAATATATTATAAGTACTTAAATTTGAATTTCAAACTTGTTTGATATCATCTGTTAAAAAAATTATATGAATTAATTAAATTAAATTTTAATTTTAATAAATTTACATCTTTAATAACATCATGCATAGAACAAGGTTTTGTCATTATTATGTCAGCATTGTACGTTTTTGGCCAAAATCTTATTTCATAAAAAGTAGGTACATGTGTTCTGTTTACATTACACACCCATAGTGTTCTGAAGTAAATTTAAAAACACTTGAAACTATAAAAATACTATTTATTCTTATTCTAATTAAAATTCAACCTTATAAGTTATTAATACACCGTCAAAAAAGGGTCAAAACTTGAAAAGGAGAAGTCACCATCACCATGAGTAATGTAGTGAAAATTTTGAGAGAGACTTGAAATTTTGGATCTGACCCCATATCATTTACTACCCTTTTGCTTTCTTAATTGTGATGACAAAAAAATCCTTCAAAATCTCCCTTTGGGGTTTGGGATTTTCTTTTGTTCTTTGGCCATACATGGGTCATTTTTTTCTGCGATACCCTACGAATTAAGTAAAGCTACATAGTGAAGAATTGCTAAAACTAAAAGGGGTTTTAATTTCTTCTGTCATGTGACTTTAGCATATAGACCGATAAAAAATTTAATTTTTCTGTGTCCCATTTATTTCTTCTCTGCTTATCTCTTCATTTATAAACACAAGTTTCTTCCTCTCTTACTCTCACTCTCTTCTCTCTTCATTAGTTTCCGCATCAATATTATCTTGTGTAAGAGTGTTATATAAAGAGAGAACCACCTTTCTTCTTTCTTTGCTGATTTCATTTCACAATACTATACCCAATGGGGAGATCACCTTGCTGTGACAAAGTGGGGTTGAAGAAAGGACCATGGACACCTGAAGAAGATCAGAAACTCTTAGCCTACATTGACGAACATGGCCATGGAAGCTGGCGTGCCTTGCCGGCGAAAGCCGGTGGCTAAACTTAACCTTAATTTTCTTGGTTACTAATAGCACAAGTTACTTCATTTTGATTCTCATCCATTCTTCAGTTCAGCTCAATTTTGTTCTATTTTTTTTTTTCTTTAGGTCTTCAAAGATGTGGGAAGAGCTGCAGGCTTAGATGGACTAATTATCTAAGGCCTGATATTAAGAGAGGAAAGTTTAGTTTGCAAGAAGAACAAATTATCATTCAACTCCATGCCCTTTTAGGGAACAGGTTAAAAAGTTCATAATAATGTTACATAACCTGAAATGATTTTTTTTTTTTGTTATCCATTTTTTGATGTCTTTTTCCCTCATCACTCTTGAATATATTTCAGAGTTTTTTTTGTATCACTTTGAAAACACTAGCTATAGTTTTCTGATCTTGGGTCTTCTCAATTTCTCAACCTAGTTTTCCCAAATTTGGTTCTGAAATTCAAGCTCAAAATTCTTGCACTTTGATAAAATGGACCGCACACAATTACTCTCAAGTCTTAACTGCCACTCTACCCTATCACCTATAAAACCTTTTTTTTTCTTTTTAATTTTTGTTTTGGTAATTTGACCCTACAGATAATAATTAAAATTGTGGCCTCTGTCATCTGCAATAAGTTACTGCTTCTTCTGACATCTGATATTAATAGAATGGCATCTTTAAATGCAAAATGGGTCTTCAATTCTTCATTAAAATGAAATAGCAAATCACTTTTTTTTTGTTTTCATTTTTTTCTTATTTTCTTGTCTTTCTGATCAATGGGGTTTTTCGTTGTGTGCGTGTCTTTAGATGACTGAAACATTGAAAAAAATGCTTTGTGGTAGTTGATATTTTCTAGGGTTTTATATAATGGATTCTGTCTCTATTATGTCTTTTTTTTTTTTCGTTGTTTTGTCTTCAGGTGGTCTGCTATAGCCACTCACTTGCCAAAGAGAACAGATAACGAGATAAAAAACTACTGGAATACTCATCTCAAGAAAAGGTTAGCTAAAATGGGGATTGATCCAATCACTCACAAGCCAAAAAGTGATGCTTTACTCTCCACTGATGGTCAATCCAAGCATGCAGCAAACCTTAGCCATATGGCTCAGTGGGAGAGTGCTAGGCTTGAAGCTGAAGCTAGATTGGCTAGAGAATCAAAGCTACGTTCACATTCACTTCAACATCAGCTGGGTCCTCCAGGTTTTGCTCCTTCAGGTTCTGCGTCTACTTCAGCTGCTCAGCTTGTGAATAAGACAGCTTGGAATAGTACTACTGGCTGGACTAAATCCAGTGAAGGTAATAGTGCTGTTTTAAACACTGGACTTGGTGGTGCTGCTAACCTTGAATCTCCTACATCAACACTTACTTTCTCAGAAAATGCTCGACCGATCATGAGCAAAGGGCTTGGAGTGAGTTCAATGCCAGTGATTGAGTTTGTTGGCACTACTTCAGGTTCATCCGAGGCCGGAATCATCAAAGAAGAAGGTGAACAAGAATGGAAAGGCCTTGGAAGTTCAACTAATTTGCCTGATTACAAAGAGGGTATTGAGAATTCTCTATCGTTCACTTCTAGCCTCCATGATATGACAATTTCCATGGAAGGGGGATGGACTCCAGAGTCTTTAAGGCCAAATAGCAGTCATATTGATGTTGCGAATGTAATGGAGGAAGGCTTCACTAATCTTCTTCTTAATGATTCTACCGACAAGAGTTTATCAGATAGTGGCAAAGAATCTGATGAAAACAGTGGAGGCAGTGGTGATGGCAGTGATTACTATGAAGATAACAAGAATTATTGGAACAGCATTCTTAATTTGGTGAATTCTTCCCCATCAGATTCACCAATGTTCTAAAAGAAGTTGATCAAAACTACAATGCTTAGCCTAAGTCAAAGAACCATTAATTATATTTTCCAGTTGTTCTTAAGCAGTGGAAATACCATCAGCTGATATATTTTTCCCAACAATTCATGATGGTTTAGCTACGTTGTTTCACCGATCTCCGAAAGCAACAAATGCAACAGCTTTGACAACCTCACTCACTCTCTGCCTTTGTTCAAAAATGAAATGTTGATATAGCTTCTTCAATTTTAGTTATGTTGCAGTTGATAGTATTTTAACATGTTTGAGTGCAATTCAATGTCATTTTTATCTTTGTATTCAATTTCTCATCATCTAGATCTCTAGCTCATCATCAATGGAGGGCCTAGGAAATAGTCCAATGGAAGATATTAATCATCAGTTTACCCTAAAAGTTCATTCCCTTTGTGTTAGACTTTTTATATATAGAAAAAGTCCAATAAATAAAGAGATGTATTTATGACAGACTTTATTGCCGGTAGTTTCAGGTCACATTCTGCTAATAACAAGCAAGAAAATCTCTTGGCATTTTTTTTTTCCCTGTTAGCTTGGTTGGTACAATTTACAAAATTCAGTAGAAATGAATCAATTTAAACTTAAATGATCAATAGTTTTTCTGCAGAGCTGATATTTCTTGTAAAAAGACCAGAATGACTTTTTCAGAATTGAAGCTATGGATATTGCAAACCAAGTAATATCCACTATATAACTATTTATAACAATATCATTTTCCATTTTTCAACCAAATCATTTCTTTTGATTTTTTTTCTTATTGATTTCAAAGGATTCTTTTTCAACTGACGTGGGATCACAAATTTGAAATTAATGCGAAGATTTTTTTTTTTTGTATTTGAGGCTACTAAAATTAAGAATCCAATATTTTATCAACAAATCACACGATTATTTGCAGGATATTGCTTACTCTTATTTACCATTTAATGTCAAAAACAATAAAACTATAAATGGCTTGTATTAACCTAGAGTCTAAAACTATAGTATAGATCAAATATTGGGATAACTCATAGGCCAAATGCATTAATGTCAATATCTTACCTTGGTCTTCAGTTATCTCTAAGCACTTCTCTCAATTATCTCGTCTTCTCCCCTTTTTCCTCTTCTTCTGGCTTGAAACATATTTTAATATACTTTGATCTTCATTAAATTAAACAAAAATAAAGAAACACAACAACAACAACTACAAAGAAGGTTTATGTGACAATCTCAAGTACACAAAAAAACTAGATTACATGCTCTCAAACTAAAAAGAGAGGAGACGAAATTAATTACAAAGGTTAGCATAAAAAATGTGTCCCAAACAACCATTGCCAATATCAGCTTGCTGCTTGGCAAAGATGGTGGGTGAGATTGGTACTCTTGCTGCTTTTAAACTTGTTGGATAATTAAGTGGACGATGACAGTGATCTAACGTCAATTTTGGGAAATTAAGATGACTACTGACAACAATAAGCCTGGGATACATCGAAAACACTAATCTTTGTTATAAGTTATTCTGATAAACACTGATGTTTTGGTACCAAAAAGGATGACGACGTTTGATAATCTCATCTTTGCATTTTGCATTGTCCTTTTGTTTGAAAGCTACTAGATTTCTCGAACACCTCTAGGCTAGGGAACTTATTATTAATTGAAATGTAATGCTCCAAATTAGCATTGCTTTCAGAGCTTTCCAGATCAAATGACATCTAACTGCTAAATTGAATCTTAGTTCTACTGCACAAAAAGGATACGAAGCAATTAATATAAATCAATTGAACAATCCATCAACATCTCAGACTTCAAAATATCTTGCATTAAACAGTGTTTAATTATTAAGAGGTCGTTTTTTTATACATTTACAGGTAAAAATTTTTTAATTTCGCAAATAAAGTTAAGAAATTACTACATGTTTCTTTTTTTAAATTATTTTTTAATTTTTTTCAGTATGGCCTAATGAATACATTTTTCAATCGTTAATTACCCCAAAAAGAAAAAAAATTTTCCATCAGCTTAATATGTGCAATGAATTCTTTGACTACCCAGCGGAAAAAAAAAAAAAAAAGCTGAGATTCTTAATTACTGTATATTAAAGAAGCTGAACAATAAAGATGCGAGTTTTCCACACTTCAAAAACTATACTATTTAGAATGAACAAGACAGTCAATTGTTTGTGACTTGTGACTAAGGCAGGTGCATGTGCAAAAGCAAATAGATCATCAATAATTTCTTTCCCAAACTCAATCCCTGCTTTGTTTCTCATGATATTTGATAAAATATTATGTCACTGGCCTAACGATTTTAGAACTTAAAACTCTTGTCTAATTAGCAAAATGTGTACTGAACATGTGGGTGACGATCAACAATCATGTTCATATACATCTCTTATATATTTGACATGGTTTAAACATTTTAAGGAAAAAAAAAAAAAAGAAAACTGCTTCTTCAGGTTAAGAGAAAGTGGAGATCAAACTTAAGGCTGTAAATTTAAGTATCAGGGTTAAGTGAGATCCGATAGGATTTCCATTTTCAAATAATGAGACTTTCAATGCCCAATTCTTATTTTTCATTTTTCTGGTTGACAAACCTAATTTTTATATTTCTTTCTTGTCAAAACATTCTAAGAATACTATTGTTAATTATAATAATAATGACCACATGCTCCATGTTTCATCAATTTTGTCCCTTGAATATAGAATAGATGTGGATTGATATTCCATCATACATCATATATTATAATTTCATAGCATAAAATTGTTTTGCATATCAAAAACATCTATAAGGTGACTAGAGCAGAAGCACTGAGGTAATGAGGAGAAAATCATGAAATATATATATGGTCCCCCTTAATGAATTGATTTATGCTTAATGAATGAATCAAAGATCTTCCACGTTTTGTCATATTATTGTTTTTTTCTTTCTCAATAAGCCAAGAATAAACACCGTTTCTATGCCTGCTGATCCTCTCAGCAAGATTCTATCACTGCAGAGTAATTGCTTGAACTCTAAAATAGTAAGGTAGCTGATGCCAGAAAAAATCAGATGAAAATGTTAAACTTAAATATATGATTGTGAATGCAATCTTGCTTTAATATTTATTCAATTAGCGTCCGCTAAGAAAATTCGAGATAATTAGGTTTGTAAATATATGTATGTTTGATACTGTAAAAATATCGAATGTAATTATGAACAATAATTCAAGCAATATATAATTGTCATGATTTGATGTTTAGAAGCATGGCAGCCTAAAACCCATATGGATCATACCAGGAAATGTCAATTCTCATGAAAATTCAACACCCGAAAAAAATAATACTATTTATATTATAATAAAAATTTGAATTGACCGTTATTTTCACATCAGGAAGCCAGGCTGTGATGAAAGTGCTGGGAGAATAACAGTGAAACCGTGGACCACACCTTCTTCAATTGTCAAACACAACTAATTCATCATTTCTCCTTTTTTTCTCAATCTTTTTTTTTTATTTCTATCTCTGAATTTGCTGTACACGAACATTTATTTCAGTATACAATGCTGTCCACATGGGTCTTAAATTACATCGACCGCGCCCATCTGTACTTATTAAATGAGGGTTTTTTTTGTTTTTTTTGCTGTGATTTTGAATGGATTTTGCATGTAACAATGTTCACTGAAACTGCACTGCTTTGTACCTTTGTTTTTCTTGAACTACTCTCTAGTTTCAATCTCATCAACAGATGTCATAAATGAAAAGTATATGCATATCATATTAAATGCCATTGTAATTAATTTTGAATAAGTATCACTAATAATTTGTTAGATTTAATTCACTTTAATAACTCCACAAATCGCTGTATAATCATCCCAGGCATCAAGTCTCAAAACTCGAACTTACTTGCGAGAATCATATGTATAAAAAAAAGAAATTTGCTAATGGGTGATCTAAAATACTCGTTAAGATTAATTAAAATACTATTTGTAGTAATATTATTTTGGTTAAACCGGATAGTTGATATAGTTATAATGTTATGAATTTGAAAAAATAATTTTTTTATATGGAAATCTTTAAAAAAAAATCCTTTAAGGCACTCATTGTGAAAACCCTAAAAAAATTCATCATATAACATTTTGAATTTATGCCAAAATTTTAAAGAGCATGGGCCAGAAGCAGAGGTTAATCCTTCAAGTACTTCACTATGCTGCACCTGCTGCTCTCAACAGATGCTTTGCTTTATAAACAATTTGCCAAATTTAAACATCTGAATTGAATTCTGAATCAGTTTTCTGAACTACCTTAGACTTGAATTTACAACCAAAAGTTCAAACTACTAAAAAGATGAGCCCAAAGCAGTAGTCTTCTACACATTCCATTAGATAAAAAACTTAAAGAGTGGTTGGATCAACTGAACAGACAAATTCAAGAAAACAAATATTTAAAAACAATGATCCTCCAACTTTTTTAAGACAT